GAAACGGATGCGAATACTGAAGATTCAAAACGGATAGCGAGAACGAGGAGGTAGACCTCACTCGAGGTTAATTATAAAAACAGGGTTAAAATAACTTTCCCTCGACTCCTCGCAGCCGACAGAACAATCTACCCGAAAACAACCCGTCAAATAAAAAACCCCATTTATCAGCCGCGTCAATTCAATTAACCAAGGAGATCAAATCAAACACGGACAAGCACTCTCACGACGCTGCTTCAGTACAAACCGGCCTCCGGGGCGCTGACGCACCCCCCGACGAACTAACCACCTTCAATCATTCATCAAAACTCACCAAAACTCAGTCGTTAATAAATCAGAACATGTAACAAACAAATTTACAAGCTGGCTACCCTCATCTTCTCAGCTAACCAACTACCTTCGTGGCAGAAACAATCTGATGAGACGAAAACACGCGGAAAGCGGCCATCTCCTGAACTACCAACGAACTTTCAAGCCTAACCCCGTAGTAATAACATATCTTAAACGAAACTCGTTCTAAATGAGAAAGCAGCATACAAAATTCATAAAGAACCCCAATCTACAGACAAACGACCAAAGGCTCAAGTTTAGCACGCGAAAGAAAATTCCAACACGAGCCCGCACGCGCGCGGGGGGCGCGGTGCCCGGTAACGAACCGCGACCCTCGGACTCGGACTAGCCGTCGGAACGCCACCGCGCCCCTTGACGGGGCATGCAGCGCACACCTCTACAGGCGCTAACGCAGAATCGGACGATACGTACCCGATAACAGAGAGAAAGCGTAGAAATCACCTATAGGAAAAACGCTGACATGCCGCCGGACAACAACAAGTGGCTCCCCATACATGCATAAAAGAAAAAGAGAATAAACCCAAGAGCGAAACTTGACAACTGCTACTACGATCTCATCACTGGCTAAGTCTCAATTTAACAAAATAATAAAACCGTCCCATTCAAACCTAGTCGAATACCGCTCATAATCAGGACGCTAATAAACAAATGGGAACTCGACGTCCCTCGCGGACCTCACAACTCTCAGGTGCCTCTCCCCACAAGGCTACAATATTTACTGCATTACTGCCACTTAAAACTATGAACGAAAACAATATAAGAAGGACCTCGTTGGAAAGATCTCGTTGGTATAGGAACCAGACATTTCAAACACGCCCACCTCCTTACTACCCCGCGAAGGGGTTAACCCTTTCGCTACGGACACCGACTATAGTCGGCGGACGCGCGAAGTGCTGTGTGTACGGATGCCAATTTTAATCGGTGTCCGCGAGACGTGCTTGTACGGGTACCGACTATAGTCCGCGTGAACATCTACGCATACTCTGTTGGTAAAACAGAATCTATCTTATCGATTGAATAAATTATTAATAATAATATTATAATAATATAATTTATTGAACTAAATCCTTCTAAAAAC